TAGCACTTGGTTTAGCGCCAGAGGGGCAGGCACTTGTTCATCCATGAAGCGAGGAAAAGGGTTTTGAAGTGCCAGCTAACCAGCTAGATCTAATTCAAAACGGCAGCCTAGAGTAGAGTGCAAGGGGTGGGCACAACGTGGTCCTATATATTTATAATTTACATATCCTCAGGGTGTTTTAAGGTATTAATATATGCAAATGACTTTGCATAGCATTCCACCTCAAATAGAGGAAACCACAGCACCTCACAATGTCCTCAACACTGAACAGAAAACTTTGGGAGGATCTTATTGAACTTCGACAGACACTCCACAGACTACATGAACTACATCGTGGGGGGAAAAACACCAGTTTACCTTGTAATGTAACCACTTTTCCAACACCAATAACCACATAGCCTGCTCAGGATGCTTTTGGTTGCGCCAGGATCACAACCTGACCTTAAAGGAGAGAAAATATGTACATGGAAAGTGAAACTATGCTTGGCACAGGTCTGAAACCATTCGCTTAATTAGAAGTATTTTTGGCAAAGGTTATTCGAGGCGGGTGTGTAAAAAGAGTTAAGTAGATTCGTAAAAATAAAATGCATAGAAAATAGGTTAAAGGCAAAACAAAGACTAATCGAGTAAGACATTACATTGAGTGCCACACCCAAAAAGGGTAAATTAAGTACATATGCCTTACAAACAAAATAAGATACTAAAAGAAGTTCAGTTGCTGAGGAATGGTGGCCGAGCAGTTCAAGATATTCGTCTTGGTCCTTTAGGATCTGCATGCAATCGTTTTAAATTATTAGCTCCAAAATTTGAAATGGACGACTTCTGTATTTCTTATCTTATGTGTTTAAATTAAATGTTGAAATTACATATTTATACATACTTACATACATATCATATAAATACATTTTTACAATACGTACAACCAAAATTGCTTACCCTTTCCTGCCACAAGTAGCCAAAATCAATTTCAGTGAAAAAAGCCAACTTTCATTGTTTTGTACCTGACATATTACTGAGCAACCTAACAAATATGTCATTACCCACTCTGGGAGTTAAGGGTCTAATAGATGCTCATGTATTTATTATTACCCCTTTGTATCTGAGGAATGGATGTACAAGAAGTACAAGTGGAAGGTGAGCTGAAGGTCTGGCTGTTCATGTTGGTCTCGCCATACTTTCTCTATGTTACATTCCAGCAGCAGAAATTCTTCAACAAATTTACCGATGGTGTCCATGATCAATTTTTATCTCTCCTCTTTGCTCCTGGTGTCTTTGGGAAGTGTGATGTTCGCTAAGGTACCATCCAACTCCTCTAAGCCGGCCCACTGCATAAAGACACAGCAGAAATAAGCCTTAGTTGCTGCAAACATCAAAAGTTCTTTTATAGTTCTTCCTGACATGACTATAGACATTCACCATTCTCAACTGTTGACGTAGACAGTGTTCCAACTTCTCTACCACACATTGCGTTTGCATCACAAAACTGTTCTCAGATAAACTAAAATGCAATTTAAATATCCAGATTTAATTTATTGGTATTAAACTATTTCTTGCAGCAATCTAATAACAATTAACTTTTTTTTTCTCAGCGATCGCAGTGATCACAGGGATCGTAGCGATCATATGAAAACCGGGCTTAATCTATCACAATAACTATCCACCCTTCTTCCTCAACTGCTACCTGTACGCCTTACAAGCATATCGAACGCACTCTTCTAAGCTCCGATTACTCCTAGTTAATTCATAATCAAAAGTTGTCATATTGGCCTATAAGGGGTGTGTGTTAGAGTGTAATAAGATTAAGGGTAGAACTGAATACAGCTGCCTCTCATCACTCCATGAGTAGTACTGAAGGGACCGGTTACTCCACTTTTTTATGTGGAACCTCATCAGTTTGAAGTGGAATAAATTAACGCCAATGACGTCATAACCTTTTATCTTTATGTCATGAATAAAATGCCTGGGAATCTCATAAAGATAAGGTAATGTGCTTTTTTTAGATGGATGATGTCATACTTTGTTTTCAGTAGGCAAAGAGCAAGTGACGTCAGAATATCCTAGGGGTTCACGTCATCAAAATAAAGTTGAGATTATAATCTATAAATAGAAAGTGATATCATGTCCCTATTTGGTCATGAAGATGTCGTAGTTTATTGTTCTTGAGCTAAATAAACTGGAAAAATTAACCATTTTCCATATGGAAAAAATATGGTTTTTGTGTGGTTTTTGTTTGGTTTTTCAGAGAAATCTCTGTGTGGAAAAAGTGCCTTTTTCCAAAGTGGATGATTCTACATTTCCATGGTAGGATTTGTGATCTTCCAAAGGTGGAAAATATTTCCACACAAAATGTAAGAGAACATGGAAAATGTAATTCCAATTTTGGGTTTGTTAACATCTATAAAGGGAATTTCTATTTGCCAAAGTTGGAAAAGCCGTATCTCCATATATGGTTAACTACTTATCAAAAAGCAGAATTTCATATTTCCGAAGAAGGGAAAATGTTCACATCCACAAAGGGAATTTCTATTTGCCAAAGTTGGAAAAGCCGTATCTCCATATATGGTTAACTACTTATCCAAAAGCAGACTTTCATATTTCCAAAGAAGGAAAAATGTTCACATCTACAAAGGGAATTTCTACTTGCCAAAGTTGGTAAAGCCGTATCTCCATACATGGTTAACCACCTAGCCAAAAGCAGAATTTCATATTTCCAAAGAAGAAAAAATGTCGTGGAAAATTGATTTCCAAACCTGGATTTGCAGCGTCCAAAGGTGGAAAGCCTATTTTCTAAATGTGGATAATCAAGAAAATTTAAACCATGTGGAATGTGGAAAATTTCTTATGATATCCATGCTTGGTAGACATTTTGTTCAATACGTGCTTGGAACTTTCCCCAAAGCTAGAGTAAGGTGGAAACATGTTCCCCTGCCAGCAATGGCACTAGCTTTCCAGGAATGTACAAACTTTGAAACGCATAATGGGTTTAACATAGAACTGAAGCCACATCAACACATTCAAGCAGTACAATGAAGTGATACAGAACTCTTTAATCAATATTTGTATTCTTTTCCTGAATATAAACAATGTTTACCGCAAAGCTAGGATACTGCATGTTTCAAGTCATGATTTACAAGTCTTTACAGCATGCATCTGCTATTCACTATCTGTTAAGGTTTTTTAAACACATCATATCACAACACAACACCTAAACTTACGAAAAGGAATTGCATGAGCCCTTTATCCCTCAAAAAATCTAGTAATAAGGCCTTGACATACAGAATACAATTATCGGTAAACTAAAATGAATATAAATTATACTTCAAAACAAAAAGGAACTTTTTGATATAATAGGTGAAACTGAGGTCTATTTAGTCCTTTAAAAATGCAGCTATAAATATCACTCCTTTTTATAATGTAAAGTGAGCATCAAATAGATGAGTAGTTTAGAGCTGTTTCAGTCTTTCACAGTTTATAAAATCTTAATGTCTTTGATGGTGAGATTTGCCAAGTCAGAACCATCTGTGAATGACACATAACTGTTGTTGAGGAGGGCAGCTGCTAATGCCCTATTGTATGTATTCTTATCCTGACCTCTAAGAAGGGATAACCCAAACATTTTCTTTAAAGGCTGTAAATGCTTCACCAGCTGTATATCACGGATACTGCACTTCTCCAGCACTGCCAAGAGAATTGCTTTGCAACTGGACTGAATCAAATCTAGAAGAAAAATGTGAATGGTGTACATTGATAAATTAATTAACTAATAATGATGATAATAAATATTAATAGTATATAACTGTATTTCTCAGAAATACCATATCAACTGTGCATTTTTTCTTCTTTTTTTATCATAAAGTTTAATATAGCGTTTTATCGCACCGTATCAAAAAGTCTAGAAAAATTCTAATACATAGAAACAAGTACTTCTCCATACCCTAATTTATTACTGCTTTACACTTATATCTTGGACTCCTCTGTTTATTCATATGGGACAGTGACCAACACGAAAGCTTTGGCTACTTTGGTCACTGTCTGCACATGTCAACAAACCTGTTTATCATATTTACTTTTCACCATTTGTTAACCTACTGTTTCTTTCTAAGCCATCTTATGCTGTATCAACTTGAATAGTGAGCAATAAACTTGAACTTGATTGCATTGTGGCTTAAATCTTCTGGGAAGTTACCATGTAGAGGGACAGGTGGACAATAGATGTTCTTTTTGTTAGAAAGAGTTTGTAGGTAAAACTTTAGACTGACCTGGGTGAAAGTAGTCTGTGTTCGATTCTGTAAACGCTAAGATAGCAACACGAGACATCAAATAACTATCTGAGTCCTTTTTTTGGTTTAATCACATCAACAGGAACAACTTTCTACAGACATTTTTGTTTTCTTCAATCTCGCACGTGTTTTACAATCCCATGATCCTTGACGTTTCTAGTTCTAGACCATTACATCATTTGCAACTATTTCAGCATGGTTGTCACGCTATTCAAAAACATCTGTCACGGAGGTTTCTACGTGTTTTCCTAAACTTAGAAAGTTTGCAAATCTTAAATGTTCTTAGATCTTAAATCTTTCTGCTTTCGACATTCTCCACCTTGCAACTTGCATTAGCATGTTGCAACTACATTTTCAGTTGTCCCTAAAGTGGTGAGGACGAACAACTTCTCTTCCACTTCGGGTTCTCCTCGGAAGAGAAACTTCCCATTCAACTGCATCTTCTTCTTCGTCTATCAACTCCACCGTACTGTTCTGCATCTCATCATCATCATCCACATAAGAACTCTCAGAGGAACTTGTAATCGGTGGGAGATTGTCTGTTTCAGCATAGATTTCCAACTTGTACAACTTGCGAATTGGTCGTCTCAATAATCCTGACTTCACTTGAACAACAGCCGCTCGGCATCATCCATCACGACCAATAACGAGTTTTTGAACGACACCCATCTTCCAATTAAGACGTTTCTCTCTGTCATCAGCCACCAGTACAACTTCTCTTTCTTTCAACGGATTTGGCTGTGTAGTCCAAACTTCCCCTTGGGATCCCAGCACCTGATGTAAGTATTCTTTCTTCCAAAGGTCGTTCATAGAAGACAACCACCTCTTCCCCTGTTGAAATTAGGGAGCTTTAGCATCGACGACGGCAACTGCAGCGAAAACGTCAGTTTTAAAACGAATTCCAGTTTCTTCAATCTTTGTCGCGTTTATTCTAATTTGCTGAAAATGGCAAGTGTAGGCGAATTTCCCTGGAGTTGATTTCTTGAGCACCGCATGCAAGTTTAGAAAGAGAAAAAGAGACTCGCCGTCGCTTGTTTACGTTCTCCATAAAACTTGCAATTAGGCATTTTCACATCGTAGTCTTGCAAGGACGGTAAAGAAATGTACAAAAAATGCGTGATGCACGTGCAAAGTTGTTGTTTTTCGTAATAAACCTATTGCTTTTTTGATGTCCTCTTTGCCGTCGCCGCCGTCGTTGCTAAAGCTCCCTATTCTTTTGATACATTAAGGTCTCTTTTTTTTTCTTTGCCATGTGCACGGGGTGGCAACAGGAACTGTTCAGGACACAAAGGGATAGGCACACCACCACCGGGTTCACTCGATTCCCACGGGTAAGTGATAGGCCGACGGTTGATGACTTTCTCTACCTCAGTTAGGGCAGTTACTAATTCCTCCCAGGAAAGCACACTTTGGCCCAACGAATGGCGTAGAAGTCCCTGGACAACGCCCACTAATCTCTTCCAGGCTCCTCCCCACCAAGGTCCTCGTTCAACCACAAACTGCCACTTTATGTCTAGATTTTTCTCC